TCTCACTGGCATCAGCAAATTCTGCTAGCAGAAGTAACATAGTTGATTGGGCAGAGAAACTTTATGGGCAATCAATAAGCGCCGTGACAGCAGGTGTGAAAAATCTTTTATCCAATGATAGGCAGCTAGCACTAACAAGAACAGTGGAGGCCTTGGTGGAGGGGAGGCCGAATCCAGAAATTGATTCCTATCTTGTGTTTGATCCTCGTGCTCCGAAGTCAAGCTCAGGAATAGGTAGCAGCCATTTAAAAGGACCTTTCAAGGAAGCTATCGTCTTCATGATTGGAGGTGGTAATTATGTGGAGTACGGGAGCCTACAAGAGCTTGCGCAGCGTCAGCAACCTGTCAAGCATGTTATATACGGAACAACAGAAATACTCACAGGTCAGGAGTTTGTGGAGCAGCTCGCAGTACTGGGGCAAAAAATGGGATTGGGTGGTGCTCCTACTCCTCCTCCTGCTTCAACTCATTGATACGTAAATCCTGCAGTTTAGTTGTTATTTACGCCTGATAGAAGATGATTGTGAGAAGCTAAGAAACCATGTGGATGAATCTGTATAAAGTTGTTGCATGTTTTTGGTCTACAAAGGACTGCTATGCTCTGTGGATTTATTTGTAAGGTCTGCACGGTGGTTCCATACGAGATTCATCAACTTTCTATCGGGATCAAGAAGAAACCGGTTTTAAATTTTGTTATAACCAGAAGTTTTCAGAATCGCATACTTTTGTGTTTCATTGATGTGTAAGTTCTATGGTTGGAAGATGAGTTTACTGATCTTACCTTTTAATTTTTGTTGATGTTTCTCTAAAAACTGAACTTTGTAATATGATATGTTAATTTTTATTGGTGTTTCTCTAAAGACGAATTTTTAATGATCTTACTCTTCTTTATTTCTAGTAATTGAAGTTAATAAATCAAATGAAAACAACGAAAATGATTAAACAAATGAGATGACGGGCATTTCCCTTTAGTTTACTTTTTATTAAAAATATATAGAAAATACAATAAAGATTGTAGGCTTGAATAAGGATATAGGAGGGTGAAGAGAATAGTGTGGAAGAAATGCATTTGAAATGGTACACAAAAGTGAGAGGTCTTAAATTCTCTCATTTTATTTTCATTCTCTTCCCTCTCTTTCTTTCACACTTCAGTTATTAGGACAATATGACAAAGTCAGACCTAGTCCACCCAGAAATGCGAATTAGAGCGTGGCATTATTGCAAAAAGGTCCTCCAACTTCCTCATATTTTCCGATTCCCCGCCCTAGTCATTCACCCGCTCAACTTCAACTCCTCTGCAGCTAAAGTCGACCCTTGGCAAATCCGACAACCTACTCCGTCCAGAAAAACCCAAAACCCTAACCCTCGGCCATGGCCCGCCGGACCCTCCCGATCTTTAAAAACCTCACACAGCGCCCCACGCCGGCACCATTCCTTCCCAAATCCCACCCGAACACCCGATCCGTCACCTACATGCCCCGACCCGGCGACGGTGCCCCGCGGCCCGTAACCCTGATCCCCGGCGATGGAATCGGCCCGCTTGTCACCAACGCCGTCGAGCAAGTCATGGAAGCGATGCACGCCCCCGTGTACTTCGAGCGCTACGACGTCCACGGCGACATGAAGCGGGTCCCGCCGGAGGTGATCGAGTCGATCCGGAAAAACAAGGTGTGCTTGAAGGGCGGGCTGAAGACTCCGGTGGGCGGCGGCGTGAGCTCGCTCAACGTGCAGCTGAGAAAAGAGCTCGACCTGTACGCTTCGCTAGTAAACTGCTTCAACCTCCCCGGCCTCCCCACCCGCCACGAGAACGTGGACATTGTCGTAATTAGAGAGAACACCGAGGGCGAATACGCCGGGCTCGAGCACGAGGTTGTCCCTGGCGTCGTTGAGAGCCTCAAGGTAATCAAAAACCCAAAATTCAATCTTTAGCTCTGCAGTTTTGTGAAAATTGGGAGTTGATTGTGAATGTGTTAGGTGATCACCAAGTTCTGCTCGGAGCGAATCGCGAAGTACGCTTTCGAGTATTCCTATTTGAACAACAGGAAGAAGGTGACTGCTGTGCACAAAGCCAACATTATGAAGCTGGCTGATGGGTTGTTCCTGGAGTCCTGCAGAGAGGTTGCTACAAAGTACCCAAGTATTAATTACAATGAAATCATTGTGGACAATTGCTGTATGCAACTCGTTTCGAAGCCCGAGCAATTTGATGTGATGGTAATGCGACTTCAGCTCAGAATTCTGTTTTGTGAATATGGTTTCAGCTCTGTTTTGTGGATATGGTTTTTATATGTGGAGTGTGGATGTGTTCGTGGCATGATTAAAGTTTTATTTTTTGCTTCTTCTTTGACTAAGTGTGGATAATTTGGTTTAATTTTGGACTTGGTCTGACATCGGTTACTAGGATTTTGTTTGGCAGATGTGTTTGCCTAGTGATTGGGAGTTTGTTTAGCAGATGTGTTTGCCTAGTGATTAGGAGTTTGTTTAGCAACAAATTCTGTCCTTCTCTCTTGTATTTAAGAGCTTGGAATAACTAATAAGACGTTAGTTAAAAAATGCATTGGAATAGACTTGCTGCCTAGATGGGGCGGCTGCCAAGTAATTTAATTTTCATCTCACCCTTTTCTATTTTCCTTTTACGCTTTAGCAAAGACATCTTGAACTTGGGTTGATTCGATTTTAAGCAAAGTTCAGGTTTCTTGGAATGATAATCTGCGACTAGGAATTATTGGAAATACTTGGTTGACTGCAGTTGACTGGATTGTGATGAATTTGCAATTACTGGTATTCGCCTTTAAATATTCTTTGGATGTTGAAATGATGCCAATATGAAAAGGTTTCAAGCTTTGGAGTTTCTGTGATCTGAATTGTGAATTTGTGAGATGTCTCTATGATTTGAATTGTGAAAACCATTTCTAATGTTTAGTCAAGAAGTGGTTCTATTCTTATCTTCTTATATGCTTCAGATCGGGTTTGACCTGAAATACAAAGGCTGGATATAAGATGAAATATTAGGTGCTTGTGACATGTCAGAATAGTCTGTTGAGAATCTTGCAAAGGCTCATACGCCAACTGATGATGCAAATTAGAGATTCTCTTTTACTATTAGTTTTGGTTTGAAGAAATTATTTATTTTAAGTGGAGAATTACTTCATAGCTTGGGCTTGTCAACCTTATTGGTGCCTAAAAACCGGCCAGCATTGAGCTACACTTTGGGCTAGGAGGTCTTGTAGGTATTTTGCTATTGTGATGACCTATGAAGAAGTAAAAGAGTAAATGGAAAAGAGTTTGAGAGTTTAAAACCTTTGAGTCACATCAAAATATTGACTGAGTTTTTTGAGTCTGATGTCTATGTGGAATTGATGTGGTAGGTCGAGAAGTAAGCATAGAAGGATAGTAATGCTCTATTTAAAGCCAGGAAAAGATGAACAATCTGGATGCGCTCAAGTGAAATATCAGCCTGGATTCATATAGTCGAATAAAACATGAATAGTCCAATAGTCTGTTCATACCTTGTTTCCTAATGTGAATTCCTAGTTCTGCTGTTTTAACTTGGATCAAAATCTTGTTCTTCTTGTGTTTCTAATGAGTTTGCTTCTTGTCTCATATGTTGATCATGAACTTGGTTTTTCTGTTCCTTGGGAGCTGGTGGGGAGGGTAAATTGAATCTAGGACTTGGTATTTGCCCTTGTAATCTGGGTTCCAAATGGGAAGTATCCTTTCCACAAAATGGTAAGACTGTTCATGTGGCACTTCCCAGACCCCACACTGGCAAAAGGCTCTGATTATTAGATCATCTTGCATTTAGAAAACGTATTGATCTGGGCCCAACACTCAGCTTCGGATGTTTCATGCTTGCTCTTGATTTTAGCCAAAAGACCTGTCTATGTCATTGAGCTAAAAATGAGTTGTCTATTGAAATTTAAAATAGATGTTTGCCTGGTTTCGAACTTCTATGTGCTACTTTTTTTCCTGTCCCATTTACAGAGGTTGTTTCATGTCTTGCAGGTCACTCCCAATCTTTATGGAAATCTAGTGGCAAATACGGCAGCTGGTATTGCTGGAGGCACTGGTGTCATGCCAGGAGGTAGAAACTCTTGTTTAATTTAATTGATTAAATTATGCTGCCAGGCCTTGCAAATTTTATACCGATTGTTTAAGTTGTGTTTTTTTATTAACACCATCATGATATATCAACTTCACCCCTTGATAGAAGAAAGATCATTTGCTAGCTTTAAGCGCTGAACCCCACTTATAATATATCTTGTTCTTGTAGTCGGTTTCTTCTAAACAGTGCCTCATTATCTCTTTGGTAACTACAGGAAATGTGGGTGCTGATCACGCTGTTTTTGAGCAAGGTGCTTCGGCAGGAAATGTCGGAAATGAAAAGTTGTGGGAGCAAAAGAAGGCCAATCCAGTCGCTTTGCTTCTATCATCAGCAATGATGTTGAGGCATCTCCAGTTTCCTTCATTCGCTGATCGACTTGAAACAGCGGTGAAGCGAGTAATATTAGAAGGCAAGTACCGGACAAAAGATCTCGGAGGAGTCAGCACTACCCAAGAGGTCGTTGATGCCGTAATTGGTAAACTGGACTGATTGACGGGGAACGTGTCAATTGCGTTTACCTGGGCTATACTTCATACTGTTGATTACCCAGCGTTCTCACATGGTGTGGTTTGTAATGGTTTCTTCTACACCGTTGGTAGGTTATCCTACATCTGTCGAAATGCAATATTATTTTTTTCCATTTTCGGGAATAATCGGAATTGATCCTAATAGCCATTCAGTAATAAAGAATGTGTAAGAGTCCCACTGTTTAAAGTTTTCGATTTGATGAAACCTCGCTTCGCTTTTTCTTCCCAGAATTTCAAATTTGTCTAGCTTTTGTTATGTGGCCTGAGATTGGGTTGAGCATAATACAGCTATCATTAACCTGGGGACGGTGTCATTACCATCATACAGAATTCTACCGTCAAGGCTAATGCCTCAAATCGTATTGTGAACGATGGAAGGCACCTTCGTAGGCAAAGGCACAGGCAAACCTGCACCGGCTCGTGCATCCAAAACTGTACACGTTACCATTTATTGTTAAAGATCAACACCAGCCCATTAAACCCAGCCCATATTGAGGTGCAAGGGAACTAGATTGTTCTAGTTCAAACATGCATGGGATTGTTCTAGAAGATTCTAGCAAGCAATCACCGACACATGGCATCGACAAGACGTGAAGTGACAACCAAACAAGAAGTATCTTAGAATAGTGTGTGGTGTGACATAAAGTTGTAAAGTACATGTATGACTAAAGTAAAGTGTGATGAGTTGTAAAGGGAGATTACCCACCATTATTGTAGAAAAGTGACAAAAGAGGATGATACGTCGTGTCTCCTAAGTGAGATTCGGGAGACTTCCTCCGTGGCCTATAAATAGGTGTGATTGTGCTTTGTATTCCTCAGACTTAGTTGAGCATTCATACTTGGTTCACCAAGCATTGTAAGATACTTGATATCAATAAAGAGAGCTTGTTTGTATAACCTTCCTTGTCTAGGTATCTATTCTAGCTTGAGTCATCGTAGAGAGTAGCGATCCTGTTGTATAATGGTCATACTGGTAGAAAGAATGTCTATGGGTAAGGGAGTCTATGAGCGAACATAGAAGAGGCTTAATAAGCTTGTGATTGAAAAGTTCCTGATGCTGACGTGAATGAGGCTTGTGTGGGAATCCAACAGCTTCTAAGAAGGCATATGCTGTATGTAGTAGATATGGAGGCACCAGTATCTACTAACGCAGTGATTACAACAGGGCCTTCATTTGGTGGAGTTATTATCAGGCAAATGCGTGGCCTGAATGAAACTCCCAGATTGTAAGTTGCCTGGATGGGAAAGACTGCTTCTTCATCAGTCATCTGACGACCGATTTAATGACTCTGATGAAGAAGAAAGAAAACTTCTGCTTGAATGTTGTGCTGATGTTCCAAATAAGTTATAGGAACGAGAACATTATTTCGCAAAGCTGCCATACAAGCAAGGATGGAAAATGCCTCACCAGACTGCATCACATCCAGAAATGCCTAATGACGAAGAACTATGGAAGGAAGAGATCAACTCCCTGTTGCAATTAGGGTTGATCAGACCATCCAAGTCCCCATGGGCAAGTTAGGCATTCTATTTATATATTGAAATGTTCCCACCTTCTCTATGTCAGACTATAATAAGTTATCATCAGGCTGAGCATGAGGTGCTCTCAAAAATAGAGAAGACCAAAATTCTGCACTTGCATGGGACGATATAAATCGATGAATTTTACCCTTCAAGTTAGTTCTTTGAGCTCAACATGTTTTGTTCTACCTTGAACAGTAGTATATATATGAGTGTTATACCTTGCTGGACTTTGGAAAAATACATGTTATCAATGAAACTTTTAGGCTGAGTAACGCTATGCCAGGCTTGTTTCGTAAAGCAGCGAAAGATATCCCAGTAAAGGGTAAGTCCTCAATTTCAAATTGGTTAGGCCCTTTGTTAATTCATACATAAAAATACTTGTAATGCTTTGAAGGAAACACAATACCAGCTGGCTGGAAGATTTTGCTTGTTACCCATGCTCTTCATTTAACTTCCAACACATTCAAGGATCACTTGGAGTTCAATCCATGGCGTTGGAAGGTACGCATCTGTCTTTCAAACTTGAGTATACCAGTGCCTTTTTTTTCAAATAACTTCCATTTTTGGAAGAATCTGATCACGATCACAAAGCTATCTGACAGCTAACTTTGTTTATGCATATTTATGTTTTGTATGGAATTAGGACCTTGACTCCCTTGTTATATCTAAGAACTTCATGCCGTTTGGTGGCGGATTAAGGCAATCTGCAGGGGCTGAGTTCAGCAGAGCGTACTTGTCCACCTTTCTCCATGTTTTGCTTACCAAATATAGGTATATTTCAGCACTCCCCTCTAATTTTAATCTCACTATCTCACCAGAGGTAGCAAATCTAGTGTGTGCCTACATGGTTTTTGACAGAGCTTAAATCATCTTACCAATTTCTTCTGTTCATAGGTGGACAACAATCATCAAAGGCGCACGCATTTCTGGAGGGCCTATGTTGGCATTCGGGGATGGCACTCACATTAAGTTCTCGGAGAAGAAAAACTGAGATATTTTCTCTTGGAGTAGTAATCTATATAAGGAACAATATTACCAGTGAACCAAAGGTATGCAAGTGTCTTGGGTTGAGTCGCCGACAATGTTGCTTTCTTTAAGACGTTTCGCGGCCCTGCCCAAGTTGTGCATGCATATTCAATGCCTTGCCGTCCCCAGGATAAAACAGCCCAGGATTCCCTCTGTCTAGACCCTGGAAGATCCGAAAACAATCACCCTCTTTGTTACTTAGAAAACTCAAATATTCACAGCAAATGTTTCTTAGTTTTTTCTGTGTATAACACTAACGTAAAACCCAAATATATATAGCCAAAAACTAGGAGTTTTAACGTTGGAAAGTTGAGGGATAAGTGGCCAAGAATCCGGCCACCAAATCAGGAACAAATCAAAATAGTTGAGGAAGAATAAGTCTCCCACTTGAAACAATATCTTATCTGATGAAGCAAATATTTTCTCCTCCAAATTAGGAAGCCAACGCCTTCCTCAAAACTAAAACATTAAAGCTAAGTCTCTTTTTTTTAATAAACACAATATCGCAACATTTTCCGAAGTCAGTTTGTGGAAAATGATCAGACACATGTCTTGATGTACCTACGATTAAGATAGGATGTGCAATATGTTATACAGCGAAACGATGTAAAATCTGAAACATGTAGTTGGAATAACTTAGGGCTGGCCCTAGACAGGTAGGTGCTGTGCTAGAATAGTTAAAGGGCCGGCCCTCCAGTTATCGAATATGATTCGATGTCAAAATTTTTAAAGGTTTATTAATGGAAGTTTTAACAAGACACTTCAGTTACTGTTCATTTTTAACGAAAAATTACATTTTTACCCTTAATTGACACTATTCACTATACCTTTAAAAAGGGCTTTTCGTTAAAAGAGAAGTTTTTTTGGACTTTTCGTTAGTTTTCCTTTTACTAGGAGTTTTAACAAAACACTCCCGGTACTGTTCACTTTTATTAAATAGGAAATAGTAAAGTTCTTTATTCTTATTATCGGAAAGGACTGTTTGTATTAAATTTTTTCTTTGGGCCTCGGGTGTCCATATTTCCTAGAGAAGCTACATATCTACCATGTGTGTCTGATTTTACCATCTGTAAAACAAGGGTTAAACCATAGAAAATTATTGCAAGAGAATAAGTTTTTGTAGTATAGAATAACTCAAGCAAGGTCGATTTCCTCAGGGACTGGTATAAACAATTTACGAATTTTGGAATATTTAACTTAATTAACTCTAAGAACTACACTAATTTGACAAAACTAAATCCTACTGTACGTGACTTAAACAAATATCTAAAATGGGAATTGGCTTATAGAAATAGTGATCCAACTAAACAAACAAGTAAATGTAGAAACTTAAGATTGACAAGGCACAAGAGTTCAACCTTTACCAACAACACTCCTACGTAGCTCTTCCAATTGCTTAAGTAATCGAAATCACACATGCTTTGAAGGTTGGGTTTTTCCTTTTGTAGTTTTACTTGTGACGTTCAAGCTAAAACGCATACCAATGCATGCAATTCATCCATGACATTTGGATTAAATATAAACACGAGTGATTCCTTAATCTTGGTGAAAATCCTTTTGATAAACCATGTAATCCCTAAAAGTATGATATTTACCTTAGGAGAAATTACAATCCTCAATTACAAGAAGCATAACCAATTTTAATGTGATATTCGTTCAAAATTGCATCTCATGACTTTTCTAAGCATCTTAATGGTGATCAAGTATCAAGACATATAGATAGTTTAATTCAGTGATTGAAAATATCAAAGCAAATATGTAAAACACTTAAAAAATTAAAAGAGAAATTTACGTAATCATGTTGAGGCTTACGGCCTCACTCTAACAAAAAAAAAAAAAAAAATTATACATACTTGTTTGAATACATAAGAAATTATCCATTAAAAATCAAAGAAAGAAAACAATCCTTTTTACAAGATGAGCTCTCCGATCTTCTCCTCAAAGAAAGGATCATGCTTCTTTCTGCTCTCCTGCTTCAATCCTCACTTTTTCCCTTCCGTTGCTCTCTGTCTCCCTTCCTCCTTTGCCATGTGTTGCCTTAAACAAAAGGCAATCCTCTTTCAAAGCCACAAAGGCAACCCTTCTTTTCTTTTCTTTTTTCTCCAACAACTTTGTCTCCCTTCTTTTTGTTTTTTCTCCAACAACTAGCCGAAAGGTATCTCCTTGGCCACTAATTCAACCATTTATTTTCTTTTCATTTTTTTATTTAGCCAAAAGTAATAGCCACTAATTTGGAAGACCAAGCTGAATGTCACAAGTGGAAGACATCATTTTGAGCTGAAAACTTGATATGATCATCTTCAATCTCTTGTGAATCAGCTCCACATGAAATCACTAAAAAATTCCATTGTTTGCATACTTTTCCACCAAACTCGATCTTGTTGCTCCTAGAAACACAATATGGCAAAAGTATCACAAATACTTAAAACTTCCAACTAAGCTAGACAAGAAAAGAAATATAAAAGGGCAAAATATATAGTATAAATATAAGTTCATCAAAATACCCCCAAACTTACATTTTTGCTGGTCCTCTAGGAAAACAAAACACAAAACAAAACAAAACTACTCAACTAAGACTTGACTCAACAACTTAGTAGCTAACTTCTCAATTTCGATCTCAGAGATAAGTGCCAACCATGAAATAAATAGTCAAGAACTAAGCAACAAGAGCTCAAAACATCATCAAATAGTTAACCAAATTTCCTTCAAACAAAGCTTAAAATGTCATGTGTGAGCTAGTCATGTCAATGCAATTCCAAGCTCCCTTAGATCATCATATGCAAACATGTGAGCTTCTCACAAGACATACGCTCATTCACTCATATGTTTTGGTTAATGTGTTTCACTCAAGTGATCTCATTGTACATGCCGCCATATGGATGCTTGTCTACCTAACTCGATACCAATAACAAGTAATTGCTCAGATCAAAGGTCTTTAACAAGGTTGTAATGGGGTTGAGGGTTAAGTGGCTAAACAATGAAGAGCATGGAAATCAAAGTCCAAATAATTTGTAGAGTTTTACAATCATATTCGAGAGATTAATAACTTTAAACCCGTGAAGCACATCAAAATTTGAACTTTATTTGACTTGATTGATCTTGGAAAACTCTCCCTTTTTTTCACTTTGTTTTTTCTTTTCCTACAATTTTTGGCTCCAACAACTTTGGACTCTCTCCTTTTATTGAATTACTCTACAAGCTCTTTAGAAAAAGGGTAGGAATATTTAATACAAGGCTAGGTAGAGAAAATTAGGTTGAAGAACCAAAAAGGCCTATATAGAGGCTCAAAAGGCTAAGGGACAAATAATAGAAATGTTGGCTTGAAAGGCTCAAACGAAAGAAGAATGCCTATATCACTTCCAAGTCAGTTGCTTGAATTGATAAATGATCAAGAGGTATAAATCATGTTCTAGAGATACATGTACAATGAGATCATACGCACAAGAACAAATGAGACTAATGCATAATGGTTTAATCATTTATAGGCTCAAAAGCTCACAAGGTTTTCTACTAGAATATGTATTTTGAAATTAACAAACTATTGAGCTATTGACCACCAAATAAATTGAAATTTGGATATTTCCTTCATATATATGTTATTTTTAGACTGCAAAATTTCATGATTTTTGGTTGTGTATTTTATTTATGGGGATTTTATTAGTAACCTATGCTCAGTTGAAATTCTAGTCTGGTAGTTTTCATCGTTTCAGTTATGTTTAACAAACGAATGATCTAATGACCTCAAAATTACTTGAAATTTGGATATGTTGTTCATATATAAGTCTACTTATAGAAGGCAAATTTCATGCTTATTGGTTATGTACTTTATCTATGGTGATTTTATTAGTAACCTGTGCTCAATTGAAAGTCTAGGCTCGAGTTTTCATTGTTTTCACATATGTGAAAATTTTGAGCTATCTTTTACCTCTAGAACAATTTTATATCCTATTTTATAAAGTTTAATGTCTCTCGTATAGTCTATGTGATTTTGAGACTAATCCATTATACGTTAATTATGTAATTCCTCAAGAAAATGATATCTATCTTTAGTCTGGAATCTTGGTTTTTGATATAGTATACTACTTTACAAATGTATTTTGGAAAATTCTATACTAGTACGTGTATATATATATATATATATATATCTATGTATGTATGTATGTATGTATGTATGTATGTATGTATATATGTACCTACATGCTTTTCAGAATAACAAATGCAATGAGTGTTTGCCCAAGTGGGAGAATTGATAAACAAATAATTGGCCTTCACACTCATTGACTTATTTGTAAATCTAAGTCACACATGCTAAGTTCTAAAGATCCGTAGGAGTTGTTCTTATGCTAATATACGTTTGTAAAAGTTTTGAGTATGAGACTTAGTTTTATATTTGCATGTTTCTCTCTAGAATTTTAAAGTCGAGTTTGTGGAAAAAAGATGCATGTTGTATTTGAAAATTTTCTAGATTTTGGTAGGATTGTTCAATCCTATAATTGTTCCACTGTTTGTTTTCAAATTTGTATGCATGTATGATGGTATTCTCATGTTTTTAACACTCGTACCATAGATGATTACTACTATTTGGTTAAGTTATTGTAAAGACAATTGCATTTTAAGTTGTTTGGTACATAATATTTGGAAGTAATGACTAAAAGAATTCACATGAAGTTATACTTGCTAAAAGAATTTTGGCTTAACATATTCATTGTTGTATAATATGATTAAGTGTAAGGTACAATAACATGTTTTTTAATGAATATGTACATCTGGTTATGGTATTTGTTTCTTGCATTCAATATAAGATATAATTGATTAGTGGGAGGAACAATTTAAATGTGTAGCTTATGCCATGAAGGATGTTTAGCTAATTATATGTACCTCACCTGATGGTTTTATGTATATTTGTAAAAGTTTTTTAAGATATTACGAATGTGGGTCTAAATTTTTAGAAATTGAAATTGTGGCCGGTTGTAAATATTCGAATAAGGATCCATATAGGCATTACATATTCATATAAGGTTGTCCTGATGTACTAAACTATAAAGTTTTATGCAGTTACTAGTTAGTTTAATTTGTGATTCACGACAATTAGGAAGCAACAAAATTTACAAGCTGCATTAAGTTATGGATTTAAGTTTTTAGTTATCTTGTGAATTCCATAAAGCAGCAAGGGTGTATTTTCAGTTGCATTCTAAATACTAGCAAGATTGAGTTTTGTACTTAGGTTTAGTCAAGCTAATAAGGAAGC